GCATTTTCTCATCAAATATTATAACGCGTAAAGAAAATTTTTGTAGTAAAGTGTATCGTTCAGAAACTATTTAAAGTCAGCTGAGATCGTATAAAATTTTTCGGCTCATAAGAGAGATCGTGCATTAAAAATAATACATTTACTACTATATTTACATAAAAATCAAAATACATAATATATGTTGAAAACGTTATTAATTAACATACGGATCAACTTGGAAATTTCGCGAGTTCCTAGCGATGATCGGCGAAGTCTTACGCCAATGAGGCGGGCATTAATTATTCCCTTTAGATTACGCCCGACACGATCCGGTAAGATCTCCTATCCCCATCCCGTTGCGTCGCCATCAATTTCGTCCCTTTCTCCGTGCAATAACTGCGATCTTCCGTCTCTCTCTCTTTCTCTTTCTCTCTCTCTCTCTCTCTCTCTCTCCTGTTCCTCCAGGAAGCGTCAGAAAATCTGCTTCGCCTCATCGATGGTAATGCCTCCTTTTACGATCATCATATTTATAAATATAACCTCCCCTCCCGTTCGCAATCTCCGTGGCCGATGAAAGGATCCTGTTAATTGGGAATACTGATGCCGGCACGAAGGCGAACTATATCGAATCGATCTCACCCCTCTGTCGTACACCGCGCCGCGTCCCGCGTGCTCATCTATCCGCCCACCCACGAGATCACGACAGCGGATAAGACCCGTGGGATGCCGTCAAAGGGAGCTTATATTTATGAGACTTTTGGCAAACAAATGGATAAATCTAATATCTTCGAGGCGAAATGGCCGAAGCCGCTTGAGAAACTGATGTCTAGAGACATGAATTCAACCATCGTCTTGTGATATGAAGCTTGTGATGGATTTTTCGGCTCCTTCAGTCAAGAAAAAAAATGTATCGTACATGTAGGTCTCCGACCATATTTATTGTAATATAAAGCCGCGTTGTAGAAATGACTTAAGAAAAAACATTGTTTTTTATCAAACAATTTACTAAAAATGGAAACACAAGAAGTGATAAAAATACTTAGAAATTTACGTATTTCTTTCATGTTGTATTTAATTTTACGAAAAATCTGACAATTTTATCTGAAATAAATATAGGAATTAGTGATGATGTTAAATATTTTATTTGAAACAATGTTTCGTAAATGTTTGCGCAACACTCTTCGCAAATTCTCGATCAAAATTGATCACGATTGCATTAGCTCATATATACGAACAGGACGGACAGATGTTTGTCGCAATAATCCAGTCGTAGCTTCGAGCGGAAATGACGCGCGCTTATAACGACGATCTCACCGATGATCTCACAGAGATGATACGCGGCGATAGGGATCGCTCCTCGTGCTATGAAATTGTTTAAAAACGAACGAACAGTGCTCTCACATGGTTGGACATCATCGCCCTAATGACGCCAACTGTCACTAAAGACCCTTTCGATCATGTGCTCGGTGATGCGTCTTAATTGGTCTGCAAGTCGTTCGTTATTAACGCAGAAAGTGACAGTAATGTGAATATTATCCCGTTCGCGATTGCATCCTTCGTCGCAGGTAATTCGAGAACGATGCAGTTTTTACGTTTTATGATGATAATTAGATTTTGCCGGAAATCGCACACTTATGCGAGATTACAACGAGAGTGTCCGCGCGCGCAATACACACGTAGGTACTTCTCGTCGGACGATATTTATGAGTGGTTTACCAGTTTCTTGGATCACGATCATCGTCAAGATACATAGACAATCGTTAACGTTTGCGGTAACGCACATATATATTATCTGCCCTACAATTATCAAGCCATAACTCACTCACTCTCCGCTGCATCTAATTACAACCGGCTGATTACAACCGGCGATTCGCTTTAATAACGATACCGCGCGGTTATTTGGAATTTTTGTTGCGCGATTAAATGCTGCTGCGAATTTATGCGTAATTTTGCGTCACACGTTTCGAATTTGTGTTATTTTTCGCAGCGCGCAATGTCCATTAATCTCGATAAATCGCACCCGTATATACTCGCGAATCGTCGAGGTTAATGGACGTCGCGCCCGCGCGCGCGCGCGTACGTAAAACTATCGGTACTCTCCTCTGTGATTCGCGTTCGTTCGCACATCTCGATAAAACGCGCGGCAATAACTGCGACATCTTTTATTAACGCGATCTCGAATGCGTTCACAGAGTCGCATTATCGCAAATACATAACTAGCATCAGCGACGATGCGTATCTTTAACCGGGATCGGTTGAAGCCGTCTGGGTCGGTTAGCCGTTGTCTCTAGCGGCATTTATAACTCATCATTATTATTTGAGTTGATTTGAAACACGCGCGGTAGGTTTCCTACCGTCCCTCTTCGCATGCGACCGTCGCCATCGTCATCATCATCACTCTTCCTTACGCGCCGCCGCGCGACTCCGGCAGCTGCCACGAGACACGCATCGACGCACACACGCGTCTCGCGAGCGTGCACGCGAGATCGAGTGTAATAAAATCTATCGACAGATCGATCATCGCATCAGTATCACTGGTTCGGTATTGCCGCCTCGAAGCGATGAACCTTGCAGCCGAATACACACAACGGCGGTGTTAATTAATTAATCATCTCGGAGTAATTAAATTGTAATAATATAGTCGCGAATAATAGCGAGGAGAGAAAGAGAGAGAGAGAGAGCAAACACGTGCGTCGGTTACTACGTGGCAATTCTTAATTACCGATCGTGGATTAAACCTGGTCAATAGTTTATGCAGATGTGCTCGTTACACAGCTGCATCGTTTCTCGCGCAAAAGTGAGAATTCTTAAAGCTGTGTGTGTGTGTAGGTATAAACACAAGTGCCGTAGTTTCAAAAATATAGAGAACGTAAAAGTGTTATACACACGTCTTTTTTTTTTTTTTTATCATGGAATTACTTTTTTTTGTGCACAAAATATATTACGCAACATAAATTCGTATCTAGTAATAGCGTATTTGTGTAATGGACTTTGTGTGCATCTTACTTACCGCGGAAGATCTTTCTCTCACGATGACGGCAGACAGGAAACGTTTTGCGATAGGAGAAATGGGAAAATGCTAGACAGAACAATGCCGATTCCTGAAAAGAAACTCGAGGCGCGCATTCCTATCGTTCGAAACGTGAGTCGAGAAGAGAGCCTCGGTCGAATATTATTGGTACCGTTCTCCAGCGCCATCAAAAGTGCCATAAAAGACGCGCTCGGCAATGGCCGGCGGGGCCACCACCGGTGGCAGGGGCACCGGGTGAAATTTGTCAGTATTAAATAAATAACCCATAAAGGCGGAACATCAATCCACCGTGGAGGCATTAACGCCCGATATAGGGGGAGAGGGAGGAGGAAAGGCGAGAGGCAACGGCTGTTATTTTTCATACACCAGCAACATCTTATATACGAGCGCGCCTATATATTGGCGTTCGCGCGTTCTCCTTCTCGCCGTAAAGGAGAAAGGACCACCCCTCGCTTCTTGTTCTTTCCCACTCTCCCATCTTCTTCTTCTTCTTCTTTTCTTTTCTCTTCGAGGTTTTTACGAGCGGCACGTTGGACCGTATCGCGAGTTACGCCGTAGATCAAAAGTGATGTGTCTATTATGACGTAAATACTTAAGATCCCTCGAGTCCCTGTTATGGCTTGGCCAAAGTTTCGTCTCTCGATACACGATGCCGCGATTCGAGTTTCCTCGCAAGTTCGTTCGAACATGCTTCTATCACGCAACATCGCAACGCGAAAAAAACAAAATAAAAAACAAATGAACAAAACTTCGTACGTGAATTTTATTTCATATATGAAATGAATGTATAAGTCAATAATAACAAAATATATTATTATAATATCACAATAAAAAACAACACGTGACTTTACTTTAGTCACGTGTCTTCAAAAACTCCTCACTTCTCAATCGTATGAATTTCGCGTATAAGAGGCACGATTTGCCTTTCAAGTTTATAATTTTGTAACTTGATTTCCACAATTTGTGTTATTTATCGCGCTATTTTTAATAATTGAAAAATACGGACGTGTGTGTTAATTATTAATTACGTGTAAAGGACCACCGAGGATGCGGATGTGGCGCAGCGGCGAACTTTAATCCGGCACGAGAGACACGGTCGAAGACGCGCGCGTGCGATGAAGCGATATATACACCCGAGGGAGAGTCGGCTAAGACGAAAAGCGAAATCCCGGCAGAAGGACCGCTTTGGCGGCGGAAGGGCCGTCGCACTGTCGATACAAGGGGTCGATTGTGGCTTGAAAGGCACCGCCGATCCAACGGCGCTCGGACCGCATTCGGCGGTCAGGCCGGTGCACGAAGCACAGTGGTCGACTTGTGCCCGCGATACCGATTCCGATGCCGAGATTACGGCGGATTTCGCGCATCACGCGGCCCATCTCGGTGGTGCGGGGAACGAGAAGCCGCAATGCGCCGCGGCTGCTATTAGCTTCGGCTTTGATTGGCTGCGTTTAATGAGCCGAGCGACACGCGTATAAATTGCTGCTTGCTGCCTGTCTTTGAAGATATTTCGAGGCGGTCGCGCGGGTGGATCTCTCCTTCCCGACGTCGTCGCGCCAACCTATCTCGCTCTCTTTTCTCTCCCTCTCTCTCTCTCTCTTTCTCTTTTTCTCGCATATTTTACCATCGCCGAATTTCTACAAGTCTGTATTTGTTCGTTAGACTACGCTTTGGCGACAGATGAATGCGTTCGAAAAAGAAAACGTGTCTCTTGGTGAGTTAGATGTTCATAGGGTGATTTTGTTACATTCTTTTATATATATATATATATAATCGTTGTACCTCTATATGTATATAAATAGTCTTTCTTAAACCTCCATTTTTGCTTGTAAAACACAGTGTAAAATATTTTGTACATTGTCAACACAACATATGTGAATTTGCACATGTGTACGTATGTTTATTTTATTACATCTGAATACAGTTTCAATTGCTGTGCGAATTGAATCACAGCGCAGCAAATATCGAAAGTCACAGCAGACTTGTGTGTGAATTGTGTTGTAAAATTGAGGATATATCACGCGGAAATAGTCAAAGAAACGTATCAAAATCTTGAAACGTATCAATGATTTCACAGTAAGCAAAAACTTCTATATGCAAATGTTTAAATAATACAAAATACGTTTTTTAAAAATATTTCAGGAAACAAAGTAAAAACATAAACATGAGAAGTAACCTCTATCGTCAGTAATCAAATTGTGAAATTTAGAACACCAACCACGTAACAATAATCGCTTTGTTGTAAATTTGAACGTACATTGAAATTTAATATGACACCAATCGGAAAAACTTCCTCGAGGAGAAATTCCTTCGCCAAAACCAAACACACTCGTGATACCGAGACGAGCCAATGCCTTTCGCCGCAATGCACCAAGAAGATCGAATGTTGTGTGGATATCGAACCAATACCTTTGCACACTCGCAAGATCTCCAATTCGACGGTTCAGATGTACCTGAGAATAAAACCAGTAGTCAAAGAAGACAACGTTTACAATATACTCACCGAGACAACTATCTCGACGAAATTTCCGTCGTTCGAGAATAACATTCGTAACTCGAAATCCGCAAAATCGAGCGAAGTCACCAGCAGACGACACGTTTTTACGAAGATCTTCGGATCAGAAACTTCGCAAGCGGAGATGTTCGAGAGATCCATAAAACATCGGGTCGCGCAGTTGCTCGACGGCAAAAGTTCGACCATCATGACTTACGGCACGAGGGATTCCGGAAAGACTTACACGCTGTTCGGCACGTCCGCGTCGCCCGGCATAATACCGCGCAGTATCGAGCTCGTATTTTCGACGATAAACTGCACCCTAACGCCCTGGTACAAGCCCACGTGTCGAAACACCGTGATCTGGCTCGACGAGACCGCGCAAACCGAAGAAACGCGATGGAAGACGCGGGTGTTGCGATCGATGGACGTAAACCAGATATACGCGGAGGCCAGGAGATCTCTGAACAACTTAGAACCGGAGAATGCGGATCCCGAGGAGGAGTGCCACGGCGAGTCGATGTACGCCGTGTGGGTGTCCTTCGCGGAGATTTACAACGGAAACATTTACGATCTGTTGGACGACACGGAAGAACACTCCCCGTTGAGATTAACCGCAAACAGCGAAGGACGATCTTATGTTTGTAGTTTGCGGAGGGTGCACGTCATCACCGCGCTTGAAGCGTGTCAGATCGTTCTGGCCGGCCAGTCGAGAATGAGCACCGCTGCGACGCCGTCGAACCCGAAGAGCTCTCGATCGCATACAATTTTCACGATGACGTTGCTGAGATACCAGAAGAATCGCGCGCCGGACGACGTAGTACTCAGCACTCTCGCTTTTTGCGACCTGGCCGGTTCCACGCAGTTCAAAACGCATCAAGAAAGATCGCAAACGCGCGAAGCGAGTAACATCAATAATAGCCTGCTGGTGCTCGGTAGGTGTCTCAAGGCTGTGAGTCAGAATCGGGTAGCGCCTTTTCGCGATTCCAAGTTGACGAGAATATTTCAACGCGCACTTTCGGGACAGGAGAGTTTGAGCTTTATCGTAAACGTCGCTTTTACGTCTAATCTTCTCAATGGCGAAGTACAAAATACGTTTGCGTTTTGCGCTACAGTTCGCAAGCTGCTGATCGACGTTCACGGGAGACGCGAACGATCGTGCGAAGTCGACAATCGCGTCCTGAATGCAGATAGTGACGTCATTACGCCACCGTCCGTTCATCAAACTCGTTGTTTATTAGCGGAAACCGCGGAGACGTCTGGTCGCGTTGATTCGGCGGCGTATAAAAATCTGCAAGAGGAGAACACGAGACTGACGAAAGAATTGAAAGCGACAAAAAGCGATATTTTAAATCGCGAGTACGCAATTCGACAAGAACTGGCCGATCATTACTCACGCGTGATTCAGGATTTGGAAGCGACTTACAAGGATCATGCCAAGCAAATCGAAAACGAAGAGCGCGATCTGCTGAAATGGTCGGTTAAACAGATCGAGGACTTCTACGAGGAGCGCATCGATAACTTGATAAGGCGCAAGAAGAGAAAGCGGGAAGACGGCGACGATTATATTGAGAATAATCGCACGCTTCATGCGGAACTTGGGGCGGAAAATACGCAGGTCACGTCCGAGGTACTGGTTTTGAAGGACGCGGTGAAGAAACTGAGAAAGGAGAACAAAGCGATTCTTTGTGAAAGGAACAAATGCTGCTTCGAATTGGCGCTGATAACTGACGAATTGAAAAAGTTTCGACAGTTCACGCAAGCCGGAATTCGCAAGTGGGGCGGCAACAGTGGGAACATCGACGATGACGCCGAGTGTCTTGTGAACAATCTGGAACGACTGATGGACGAGAAACTGAAGAGAACCGAGAAAACGCTCGAAGAAATGAACAAATATATCGGCGCGATAAAGAACAAAGACGCCGAGGACGCTGCAACGAACCGGGAATTGCCAAAATCGCAGAATCTTCTCGACAACGCTCTGATGAAGATAACGGAGTTGGAGAAAGAGCTAACGCGCAAAGACGCTTGTATCGTCGCGCTAAAGCTTCAAACAGAGATTCAAGAAAAACAATTTACCAAAGTTCAAGAACGTGATCCGCAAAATAAAAGTGTCGCGGACAAACTCGACGAATGGCTGAACGTTTCAACGTTATTTCCGTCGCAGAATCAACTCGTCGCGGAATCAACGAAGAAAACGTTTCTGAATATATCCGATATCGATCGCAAAAGTTTCTTCGAAAGCAGCGTGGATTGCAGCGTAATTTCCAGATCGAGCGACAGAAGCAGCAAAGATGATTCGGGTGTGAGCAGTGGATTACGAGACGGAAGGTCTACCAGCGTAAGTGACAGTACGAATATCCGCGAGAATGAAGACAAGTGCACGCAGACTTGCTTCGTCGAGAATGATAGCCGTATTACGACGGAGGAAAGCAACGTTGTACGACGCGAGACGACGGATTGCGCGAACTCGAAGCGACAGAATCACAAAGAGACATCGCACATTGACGAATTATCTCAAAATCTGGAAACTATCGGGGATGTGATTTCCGCGTTAAATGAGGCGGCTTGTGTGAACGAGCGCAATATCATTCGGCACGAATGCGAGTTAATGCACAAGGAAGATGTGTTGAAACTAACCGAGGAGGAGAAGAAAAAAATTGCGATCTGTAAAACTAACGATTTGCCCGAGGCGAAGGACAAAATGGAAATGTACGAACTCAGTGAATTAACTAGTAAATTAAGAAGTAAGGAAGAAAATAAAAATCGGACTTTCAAGCGCTTGGAAAGTTACGTGGACTTCAACTTCTTCGAAAATAAAATATCGTTGATGCGCGATCAATTAGATAAGGCGTCTGGTAAATGTTTAAATGAGCATTTGCCAAGAATTGAAAGTTTGGAGGAAAAATTGCTGCGGAAAAGTTTGCGGATAAACGAGCTTGAAGAAAAGATTGCTCAAATGCGAGACGGATTCTCAAAAGGCTACGAGTTATTCGAGAAGATACGCGACTTCGAGATCATTGTGAGCAGATGGCAAAGGGACAGGAACAATCTTTACAAACGGTTGTGTGAATGTACGGAGGACCAGCTCAATCTCGAAGAGAAATTAAAGAGATTAACGATAAAACTGGCGGAAAGAGGAAGCGAGGTTATTTCATTGAAAAGTCAAGTACGCGGTATAACAGATTCGAACACGACAAACGGTGTAAAGGTCAGAAATTTAAATGATCAAGTTGCCGAGGCTGTTGAGAGTATCAGTTTGATTAAGACTGATCTGCAATGTTGCAAAGATCTGCGCAAAAATATTGAGAACGTCATGAAGATGGAAATTGACGATCTCAGATCTTGGTTATCGGATTACGAAAATAATACAAAGTTTTTGAATAAAATATGTAAGATCTACGACGACAGTAGGGATGAGATAACTAGTTTGAGGATGCAATTGCAACACAAAGAATTGGAAATAGCTCTGCTTACAAGTGACAGAGACGTTGCGATACAAAAACATGAGATTTTAACTAACGATCTTCGAAAAGAAATTGAAGAGAAGATCAAGCACAACAAAACTGTTGCAAACAGTTCGGAAGAATTTCTCATTAAAAATAACGCGATATGCGAAATTATCGATTCTGGGAAAATTGCATCAAACGAGAATGAAAGACAGTCGCGAGAACCTTTAAAAGTACGCGAATCGAACTGTAGTTTGGCAAATGGCGTGTGTTCAACATCTAAAGACGCTAGATCGGAGGTGGTAAACGTATCGTCAGCTTCAAGTGAAAATTTCACAACCTCTTTCGACGACAAAGATGACGCCGATAGCAAAATCATTAACGATTCGTGTCAGGTTTGTTTCAATCTATAAAACCTACAAAGTAATAAAACGCTAGATGAATCATTTGAGATTTATATAAACTTGAAATAAGTTTAATTTTACGGACAATTTTGAAATATGCAATGATTTTTACGTTATTTGTTCACAATTTTTAGGATAGAAATGTAACGTTGACCCTACCTTTTGTGTGTGAAACTAATCATCTCGAGTTAGAACTGTACTTCGATCTGAAGTCGTCGAATAAGAAGAGGAAAGAATTCGACTGGATAGAAATCAGAAAAATAGAAGTTACAAAACCAACACTCTCGCAACTTTTCAGAAATTCAAACAGTGATCCAGAATCCGAATGAACAACATATAGCAATAATTAATAATGTGTAATGATAATTGTTGTACATATTTGTTTGATTACGCGTGAGTTTTAAAATAACTTGTGACTTCTATTTTGACATTTATTTAAATATTTTTGTTTTATTTCTATTTTATGTGTGTGTGAAGTGTTGTGACTTACGTAATTGTCAAATGCGTTGAAACAAGTGTTGCATTGTTTATGTAATGATCACAGACGTGTCATATATCTGTTGTTAGATGTATAACAGAAAAACTTGCACGTTTCAAGCGTTATAATTTAATTGATTGTACTGTGTCGTTTTTTCTTTTACACAAACGTTTGTAACAAAAGACTTCACTTAATTTTACGTGAAATTATTTTATAAAAAAATACAATCTGTAAAGTTACACAAACGTCTCTTCGTATGTTATACTTATAAAATATTACAAAACGTCACGTCGATATCTTGTTATAGAACTATGATCTTGTACGAGGCAGTAGAGCGCGATTATCGATTGGGAATATTAACGCTATCATCAGGCGTTCCCTCGAGACAAGATCGTGTGTAATAGCAAAACGTGGTTTCGACATTCGTTACAATAAGCGAACCGCCCCCAAACAGTAGCGGAAACCGAGTGTTGAGCCCACTCATACACAAGGGCGAACTCCCCGCTTCGGATTTTATTGCCAATATGCTATAATTTCTGACATTAGATGCCGCTGACGCTTTTCGTCCTCTCATTACTCGACCCATCCCATTCCCAAACGTGATCTTCCCGCGAAAGCGTCTGGTCCGTCCTTTCGCGCGGATATTGATAGATGAAATTATGAGAAGGGAGATATCGAAATTGGAATGGATCGCGATCTCGTCGTTTTTGTGATATATTACGCGGAATGTGCGATGTGATAAAAGGGGAATGCGAATAAATGAAAGGAAGTCATTCACACACAATCAGCGTGAGATTGCAATCTGCCGCGAAACGGTGCTACAATTACTTCCGGCAATAGTTCCGATGCTATTAGTAAGGAAAAACACTTTTTTTTTATGTGAAAAAGAAAACGAGGCATTGGTACAGTTGCAAATTATATCTGCAAATTATATCTGCAGCGTAAATTCGTTCTGTTATTTGTATTCGTAAGAATATCAATTCGCGTAATTATTCTCTTATATTACTTTCTTGCGTAGGCCAGCTTGTTATCTCGATGAAAATGACCAGGAACGGTTCGTGAAATGGCAGATCGCGGCGGCCATTTTCGCTAGCTCACCTCTTCGTCGCCGGTGATTTCTCGGGGTAAATGTACCGCGAACTTTCCTCTTTCAATTGGCAATAAGATTTGATCGTTGCGGGAAATATCATCCAATTTCCTTTCTCTCTTGGCCGGGCTGGAACATTGCCGCCCGTCTCCGCCTACTCACGTTCACCCTCTAACTTCACCATCAACCACCCTCTTTCCGTTATCCTTTACACGTCCGCCCGCGAGAGATATGAAGATGGCGAAATCATCCCTTTGGCTCGCCGGTCAAAATTGCACCGATGCAATATCCACACCTAGTGTTTGTTCGCAATACGCTTTTATGTGTATTTACACATTATAAAAAAATATTGATTCTTCTACGTTAACGAAAATAATTTCTCTTTGATAAATACCTTTACCGCATATTTTATTTATATTAAGATAAAAAAAATAAAATAATCTAATAATATTTTTTGTAAACATTAAAAATGTATTATTGTTTTAATTACGCGAAGTATTGCAAAAGTGCAAACAAAAAATTCGGAATAGTCGATTTATGATATACATCTTGTCTGAAGATTGAGCGAACGTTTGGTGGTAAAGGGGAAGAAACTTATTCCGGGGACCGAAGTTTCCCCGAGACATTAGTTTATAATTCGGCAATCCCGGATCAGTATTTGTCACGATTAGCCGATCTCTGCCCCTTCTTCCACGGTCGGAATATCTGTTTCTGCGGAGGTCCCATCCCTTTCTTCACCCCTTCTTCCGTAGAACTCGCGCGAGAGTTTTCATTAATTTCGCTCAATCCTGCCGAACTATTGTCGTAGTTACGCACAATTTCGACGCGACAATGCCCAGCTTTCTCTGGGATTGACGTAGACGAAAGGGGAAAGCGCGGGTCGGGGGGTAGGTGAGGCCGAGCCTGTAAGGAGTTATAACGATGTCTAGTGGGAAGGGTAAGAAGTTCGCTTGGGTTCAAAGTCCGGGGTGGCATGGATTATATTTCTCGTGTCATTTGCCTTCTGAGTTAGACCGATGACGTTTCGCCTCGAGTTTCTCCGTGGAAACCTTGCTACGTGAAGCGAAGACAGATTCGGCGCAAGAACAAGGATTTGATAAAAAGAGTTTCAATACAAATGGAAGAACTTTTTTCTACGTATTGCGTCAAGAATAATGTAAATCTCTAATAATTAGTTTAAAGAATTGAGAAGATAGATATGTATATATTAATTATTATACGAGAGATAAAAATACTTTTCACGCACAAAGATTAATATTCTCTTGTATTCTCTTCAAAAAAAAAAAAAAGAAAAAAAACAATTCCTTGCCCGTACAAAAATATAGCAGTTTCGCGACTTTTCAACTTCAATATGACCGCTTTTGTCAACGTCGAACGGTATCTTAAAAATTAACCCCTCACGGGATTTCGAGGTGAGAAAACAACGTAACGTAGATGCTGAAAACACGTGCACGTGTCTCGGTAAAAATACAAGAACACCCGGGGTAGAATCGTCCCATTTGCAACGTCACCCGGACAATTTCCAACGGACGAACTTCCATCTTCGAGCTTCGGGAGGGGGTTGCGGACCCGCGATATTAGAACAAACGATTTCATCTACTATGTCCTTGTGCCCTCCTCCGCTCCAAGATTATCCCATCACATCTCACCGACAAGATTCACGCGCCAACCCGGATATAGGAGGAGATTTTATAAGAAACGTTGCGCGCGCGGGCAATTCGTTCAACTTTTTCGCGACACAATTAAATTGCACACAATTTTTGATTGATATTAAAATACAAATCAATTTACATCTTGTTTGTACCATTTAATCAGTTATAAATTTTTTTTATTTCATCAGTTTCTCGGTGTGTATAAAGAATACGCGACATTGCAATTTGCTCGCTGTTATTCCACGGATAGGAGGCAAGGTATTCGCGGTTATACGCAGCGCTTCATCGTTGTGTACAGGTATACCCCCGGATTAAATACAGCAACGCGCGTCCGGACGATGACTGCACCCGCGTCGCGTCGCACTGGATAAATCGCGATTACGTAATATCGCGGGCGAAGCGTTTGTGCGAGTAGAGAATTGCGTAAAGGCAAATATGCAATAGACTACCTGAACGTCCCCGTATTGTATGATTGTCTCCGTTCTGCTCTCCCCTCTTCTTCAACCACCCCTTGTGCGCCTCGTTCTCTCTCTCTCTCTCTCTCTCTCTCTCTCTCTCTCTCTCTCTTTCTCCCTCGCCGTCGCTGCCGCCGCGTTTCGCAGGAAATGTCTGTCTTGCATTTCCCGGCATTGTAACCACCCCGTCGGCTTCGGAGTATTGCCAGTCTTCACTTTGAATTGCATTACCTATTATTGCTTATTGTTCGACGCCGGTTTCTCACGCTACGTGCTTTTCTCTTCTCCCTCCCGCGTGTTCGAATTCTTCCTCTTTGGTTCGTCCTTGATATATTCTTTTTTGTTCATCTTTTTTCTGAGATTTGGTACTTTGCTTCTTTCATCTTTTTCTCGCAAGTTGTTGTCACAGCAACAACGTTATACACGTTTCTTATCTTACTTCGATATCTGTCTGTAATATTCGACTTATGTTAGCGTATATCGAAGAACAAAATATAGCGTTAGATACAAACTTGGGCGCGCGCAGCGATTTATCCCCGGCTTGTATGCTAAAAACGTACGGAATCAGATTCGACCGACAGATGCGCCCGGAGCGACTGCCGCGCGATCCCCTGGCGCAACTTACCGAGATTTTATTCGTTTTTACATATGACCGAGCGAGTGATAAGAAAACACCCGCGATATTTTACGTTTTTATACGCGGTCGCAATTGCCTTGAGGTGTTGGCCGGTGTCTGCTCGCGCCCTCCGTATAGAAAACGTTACACATTCAGGCTTGTGTCTGATATGCGAAATAAGTAGCCCCGGGCGTCGGAAAAGCCACGGCCTCGTTAACTCGACGTCATAATCCCGGACTACGGACACAAAGATGGTTTCTTTCTTCGCGATCTTCGCAGAACAGAGCTCGAGAGCTCCAAACTTTGCTTTTTATTATTATTATTTTGTTTTTGTTGACAAAAACAACACGTCGATATTTTGAAATTTATTCAAATACTTTAAAACGCGCTTTCATGTCACGAAGCACAAAATAGCTTGCACACACAACTCGCGGAGATTGTGTTGGCGCGCAAAGATTATGCCGTAACTTTGACGGGTAATAATAAAAAGTTTTGATAGTCGGTCGAGAGAGACGTTAGAAGGGATCGTGTGTACATACCTACCTACATGTTACAGATCCGCGAGTGGAGACACGTGTGCAACCCGGTTTATGTACATCCATGTGACAATATGGCGTTGCGGGTGGTTTGAGTGGCTATTGAGATGCTTGGTTCTCGAGCGCGGTGCCCTCACAAAAGAGCAGTACTTACCAGATATTGGAGGCAATGAGGCGGGCTACTTTTAACAAGACGACTACCCAAGGCGCGCCACTTCACCGATCCCTATGCTCCCGATATCGTCGCGCGCCCGATGCGCCCCCCGCGTTGTTATGAAATCCTATATAAAAATTACGCGAGACGAACCCATTGATCCCGATTCGCTAACGAGCCGCAAGTTGGGGATCACACAAGAGGACACACGGATCGTCTTTTCTGCGGACGGATCTTATCGCTGTACAATGCGCCGTTCGTTTCTCGAAAGGCGCGCGCACAAAAAAAAAAAAAAAAAAGGAGACGTAGGGCGTTATTTAAAACTGACTGAACGCGATAATTTTCTCTCTGTGGCAATCTCTAGGTAGATCATTAACGATTAATGAGCGCGTCGAAAAATGCGCACGCGCGTGCAATTCTAAAGAAGATAGTATTATAATGAATTCGAAAAATAACAATAGAACATCGTGTCTGAGAAAGAAAAATAATACACAGTACGTGTGTGTGTGTGTGTGTGTAATGTCAAATTATTCGATTATTACACAATGGGGTATGTAGTGACCCTCTTTTTCGAGCAAAGGATAATTTGAGATTCGACGAATCAGACGTCGCGTCCTTTGTTTTGATAATCTCTCGGGCAAATTCGGAGTTTGCACAAGTTGGGTGT